GTGACTCAATAGAAAAATTATTAGAATAAAAGTGTTTAGCAAGTTGTTGGGTATAAGAATGAGATCAATATTACAATTCAATTGGATTTTTATATACCAGCAACAATTAGAATAAAATAGCAATAAAATGTTATTTTTAAATAGATGTAATAAAGGTACAAGACTCAGTTCTCTCCAGATTCAAGGCAATTCCAATCAAAATCCAGTATATCTTTTTCATGAAATTTGGAAAACTGAATCTAAATTTGGAAAACTGATGCCCTGGCTGGCACGGCTCAGTTGGTTGGACATCGTCCAGTGCACTGAAGGGTTGCCAGTTCAATTCCCAGTCAGGGTACATGCCTGGGTTTCGGGTGTAATCCTGATGGGGGATGTGCAGGAGGCAGCAGACTATTGCTATGTACTGGTCACTGTTGTAGGTGATAGGCACTTACATTAGTAGTTAAAATAGACAGAAAAGCTCTCATGGAACTTAAATTATGGTAGGAGAAGAACAGATAATAAAAAGCTAAACTTGATGCCCTGGCTGGCGCGGCTCAGTTGGTTGGACATCGTCCAGCGCACTGAAGGGTTGCTAGTTCAATTCCCAGTCAGGGTACATGCCTGGGGTTCGGGTTCAATCCTGATGGGGGATGTGCAGGAGGCAGCTGATCGGTGTTTCTCTCTCATCGATGTTTCTAACTCTATCCCTCTCCCTTCCTCTCTGTAAAAAATCAATAAAAACTATAAAAATTAAAAAAAAAAAGAACAGTATGCTATATATGCCAGGTCCCTTGAAACATATGCTGTGCAGATGTTTCTTTCCTGCAGCGACTGTGTCAAGCAGCAAGGATGGACCGGCTTCCGGCACACTATTCAATAAATTGGTTTCCATATGAGAAAAGAAAAAAAATTGAATCCTTCCTCATACCATGAACAAAAATCAATTCTAGATGAACAGGCTTAAAAATGAAAAAACTTTAAAACCTTTTTATTTTTATGAGTTCAGAATAAAGATACATATCTTTTAAAAGATACAGAGGTCATGAAGGTTAATATCCAGCATATATAAAGACCTACAAATCAATGAGACACATGGTACTCAATTGAATAATGGGCAAAAACCAAAATAGATATTTTAGTGAAAAGGAAATGCAAATATCTAATAAGCATAACAAGATTGTAAACCTATGAGTGATTAAGAGAAATATAAAAGAAGGCCCCAAAGATATTCAAGTGGCAAAATTAAGGAATCTGACTATACCAGGTGATGAGGATATTGAACAATGGGCACTCCCTGTGTTGGTGGGAGTATAAATTGGAAAACAATTTGGCTTTCCTGAATATCATCTAATCTATGACCTAGCAACCTCACACCTAGACACTAAAAACTTTAGCATTGTGCTGGCTGGTGTGGTACCGTGGTTAGCGCATCGGGCCTGCACACTGAAGGGTCTCCGGTTCAATTCCCAGTCAAGAGCATGTGCCTGGTCCTGGGCGACAGCGCGAAGCAGCCCTCCTGGTTGCACACGGAGAACCTCAAGAGCCCGAAGACAGTTCACCTCGAGGTGCGGCCGGTGGAAGATCTTCGGCCCCGGCGGAGAGCACATTCCGCACGTCGAGTGTGTGTCGCAGACCCTGCTTCGCATGCATCAGCGGGACCCTGAAGGCGAGGCTGAGATCTTGATATCCGGTGGGCCTTCTTACCAAAAGGATGATCCAAGGTGATCATGAACTTGGCTCACCATCACCGCCAACTCCAGGCACAAGGCTCGTGGAAGAACGCTGCCCAGCAGGCCGAGCCCGGGAATTCTCCGCTGCTGTCCTGGTGGCTGCGGCCCAGGCCTCCCCCGGCAAAGTCCGGGAGGCCACGACCAGAGCTCCCCCAAGGCTACCCAGAGCCCGGTTCCCAGGTTATGACGGCATTTCGGGCCGGAGCGCGCACCAGGCAGGGTTCCAGTGAAAGCCCCATCGGGAGCCCTGTTCTCGGTCCTGCTTCTGCCGCAGACGCTGGGGAAAGGGTGGTGCGGGTTGTTCTTGGTTTCCCCTCCCCACCCCCATGCTAAATGTTTGCAAACACACATCTAAAAAGTTGTAACAAAAGAATCAAATTTCCTTAATAAAGAATTGAATTAAAAAAAGAAAAGAAAAGCCTGTGCCTGGGTTACAGGTTCGATCCCCAACCAGTCAGGACACTCGCAGGAGGCAGCCAGTCCATGTATCCCTCTCACCGCCCCCCTCCCTCCTTGCCATGCTCTCTCGGGTGAGGATTCGCCAAAAAAGAAAAGCAAAAACCAAACAACCTTAGCACACATGCCTGAGATTAGAACATTCACAGTAGCATTGCGTATGCGGCTGGGACTCTTGAAAGAACCCACCTGCCCATGGACAAGCACATCGGTGCCTGCATTTGGGACAGAGCCACAACGGAACGTTATGCCGCAGTGGCTATGAAAGAACCATGGCTACGCGTAATAATGTGGCACAATTTCCTGTGCTGCCTTAACGAAACGCAACATGGTTGTTTAAGGACACATATCTGTGGTAACAAAACTTGGGAAACGGGAGGGAGGGGCAAATATTTACACAAAATCCAGGATAATGGAAACTATCTTCTGAGTGAAAAATGGGGGAATGTGTCGGCAAGGATTTCCTGGGGCAGATTTCCCTGGGTTCTGGTAAAATTTTACGTCACAAATTAGGTAGTGTGTTCATCATCTTTCATAACTTATATATGCTTCTGCAACTTTCAAATATTATAAAATTTTAACATTTAAATTAAAAGCAACAGGCCTCAAGCATATATTCGCCACAGGCCCCAGCGCGCAAGGTACTCTGGGTCAGCAGCAGTCTCGTGATCCCACACGCAGGGGGGCGGAGCCCAGCTGTCCATGGCACGCATGCGTGCACTGCAACCAGCCAATCAGCGACGCTCTCGGGCGAGGTGCTGCGAGGCCCGCTTTTTCTCTGCGCACCAGTTCCCAGCAGCCTCCGAGGAGCGAAGAGCGAGGAGCGAGGAGCGTCGAGGTAGCGAAGTGGGCGCCTCCCGTGAGGCGCAGAGCAGAGGAGGCTGGAGGGCCCGGGACACCCGTTGGAGGCCAGTGCTGTGGTCCTCAGCCATCGGGTTATTTTTTCAGGTGAGGAGGGTCTTGCTCTGTGAGGTAAGTCATTCTCAGTGGCTCCACCTGCGGCCTTTGACAGGTAAAGGCGAGCAGGGCCTTGAACTGGCCCGAGGGGCAACTGGACCGAGGGGACGGACGGGGCTGAGGGGGCGACCAGAGCTGAGGGGGCAACCGGGGCCGAGGATAGAGGGGGCGACTGGGGCTGAGGGACCAAGGGGGAGGCTGAGGCGGGGACCCAGCGGAGGGGAGA